GACATGTCAGGAACATGACAGAGACATGTCAAAGACATAACAGAGACAAGACAGAGAAATGACAGGAACACGACAGGGACACGACAGAGACATGACAGAGACATGTCAGGAACATGACAGAGACTCGACAGGGACACGACAGGAACATGACAGAGACATCACAGGAACATGACAGGGACATGACAGAGACTTGACAGGAACACGACAGACATGACAGGAACACAACAGAGGCATGACAGAAACATAACAGAGACATGACAGGAACATGACAGAGACATGACAGAGACATGACAGGAACATGACGAACATGACAGAGAAATGACAGGAACATGACGAACATGACAGAGACATGACAGAGACACGACAGGAACATGACGGACACGACAGGAACATGACGGACATGACAGGACCATGACAGAGACACGACAGGAACATGACGACATGACAGGGACATGACAGGAACACCACAGGGAGACAACAGAGACACGACAGGGACAATGCAAAGACACGACAGGGACATGACAAAGACACGACAGGGACATTAAAGGGACATGACAGACTTTTGACAGGAACATGTCAGGGACACGACAGGAACACGACAGGGACATGTCAGGAACATGACAAGGACATGACAGAGACATAACAGAGACAAGAAAGAGAAATGACAGGAACACGACAGAGACATGACAGAGACATGTCAGGAACATGACAGAGACATGACAGGAACATGACAGAGACATTACAGGAACATGATAGTGACACGACAGGAACATGACAGAGACATCACAGGAACATGACAGTGACATGACAGAGACTTGACAGGCACACGACAGATATGACAGGAACACAACAGAGACATGACAGAAACACGACAGAGACATGACAGGAACATAACAGAGACATGACAGGAACATGACAGAGACATGACAGGAACATGACGAACATGACAGAGAAATGACAGGAACATGACGAACATGACAGAGACATGACAGAGACATGACAGGAACATGACGGACACGACACAGACACGACAGGAACATGACGGACATGACAGGAACATGACAGAGACACGACAGGAACATGACGGACATGACAGGGACATGACAGGAACACCACAGGGAGACAACAGAGACATGACAGAGAAACGTCAGGAACATGACAGAGACATGACAGAGACATGACAGGAACATGACAAAGACACGACAGGAACATGACAGAGACACGACAGAGACACGACAGGAACATGACAGAGACACGACAGAGACACGACAGAGACACGACAGGAACATGACAGAGACATGACAGGAACATGACAGAGACATGACAGGAACATGACAGAGACACGACAGAGACATGACAGGAACATGACAGAGACATGACAGGAACATGACAGAGACATGACAGGAACATGACAGAGACATGACAGGAACATGACAGAGACAAGATAGGAACATGACAGACATGACAGGAACATGACGGACATGACAGGAACATGACGGACATGACAGAGACACGACAGACATGACAGGAACATGACGGACATGACAGGAACTTGACAGAGACACAACAGGAACACGACGGACATGACAGAGACATGACAGAGACATGACAGGGACACCACAGGGACACCACAGAGACACGACAGTGACATTACAGAGACATGTCAGGAACATGACAAGAGCTGATTCAGAGTCACAAGAGGACAAACCATCTGTTACCTTGACAACAGCTCTCCTGTTCATCTGAAACAATTGTAGTCGCTGCCTGAACGCTCGCTGCTGGACCACCCTCCTCCAGTGAGACTTAAGACACACAGAGATGTGAGGGACAGTCTGACCCTGAACATCTGGACCAGTGAGACTAAAGACACACAGAGACATGCAGGGACAGTCTGACCCTGAACAGCAGTGGACTCACTTGGATGATGAGGACAGCAGGTGTCTGATCAGTCAGGTAACGGTGTCGAGCCTCCAGCTGTTGTCGGATCAAGAAGCCTCGGCACCGAGCCTGCAGGCGAGTGATGAGGGTTTCACTGCTCCTCCAGGACATGTTACGGTTGTAGGACTCAGAGACCCTGCTCACTACTGCCTGCAGAGACAGACAAGACGTCCCACAGCGGGACATTATTAAGGTGGACATGTCCTGCTGTTAAATCCTTTAGAATGTGGAGCTACAATGCTTTGCTCTGAGTTCCTCCAACTACACAAGCCCCGCCCCTCTTTCTGAGGTTTCCCACATCAACTCGTTTTGGTGCTGTCTCTTTAAATCTAAACAAGACACTTCCTTTATCTGCATTTCTAAAATGTAGTAAAACCTCGGACAGAAAGAAACTCTACTGCATGGCTCAGGAACCTCCGACAGGTGAGCCTCAGGTGAGCCTCAGGTGTGTATTGTACCTGTATCTCCTGCTGGTTGATGAACATGCTGTTATGGATGAATCCATTGGGTTTCTTCCAGCTGCCCTCCAGGTTCTTTAGGTGAAAGTAATAAAATGATCCTTCACTCAGCTGGATTTGAACCCAGGAGCTTCTGTTTCCACCTGAACATAGTAATTCTGTTAGTCTAAGACAGGACATGGCTCTGCTCTAAGCTCACCTGTAATATTACCTGAGTGTTTCCTGTCTTTGATCAGAAAGCTCAGTTCTCGTTGATAATCTGAAGCACAGTCGGATAAAATTCCCCGCAGCTCGAGCTCTGGCAGAGAGAGAACTCGCAGGGTCTGTTGGACCTGGTTCTCCTTCACTGCCTGGTTGACGGCTGCCAGAGCCAGGCTCACTGCAGGAGGAACCGTCAGTCAATCAAACCGACTAACAGACCAGATCAGCAGCAGGACACCAGCTCAGAAGAACAACTGAACCAAACATGTTTTTAGAATCTCTATGTAAGGAAGCAGGAAGCAGCTCTATGAATCAAATTTATTAATATTATTATTCCTCTTATCGGGGTGGAGAGGTTTGAGTGTCCCAATGATCCTAGGAGCTATGTTGTCGGGGGCTTCATGTCCCTGGTGGGGTCACCCAAGGCAAACAGGTCCTAGGTGAGGGATCAGACAAAGTGCAGCCCAAAGACCCCTATGATGAGTGACAAAATTAGATCTAGTGTTCCCTCACCCAGACGCGGCTCATCGGGGCCCCCCTCTGGAGCCAGGCCTGGAGGTGGGGCACGTTGGCGAGCGCCTGGTGGCCAGGCTTTCACCCATGGAGCCCGGTCGGGCACAGCCCAAAGAGGAGACGTGGGTCCTCCTTCCCATGGGCTCACCACCTGTGGGAGGGGCCGTAGGGGTCAGGTACAATGTGTGTTGGGCAGTGGTCGAAGACAAGGACCTTGGCGGTCTGATCCTCAGCTACAGAAGCTGCTCTAGGGATGTGGAATGTCACCTCTCTGGTGGGGGAGGAGCCTGAGCTGGTGTGTGAGGTTGAGAGGTTCAGACTAGATATAGTTGGACTCACCTCGACGCACCGCTCTGGTTCTGGAACCAGTCTCCTCCAGAGGGGTTGGACTCTCTTCTACTCTGAAGTTGTTCATGCTGAGAGGCACCGAGCAGGAGTGGACATACTTATTGCCCCCCATCACCACCAACACTATTTATGGTAGGGATGGTGCACTGCTGACCTCAACTCAGGATGTTGTGGGTCGGTGTGCAGCATACTTTGAAGACCTCCTCAATCCCACTGACACATCTTCCCATGAGGAAGCAGAGCCTGAGGACCCTGGGTTGGACTCTCCAATCTCTGGTGCTGAGGTCACTGAGGTGGTTAAAAAGCTCCTCGGTAGCAGGGCGCCGGGGGTGGATGAGATTCACCAGGAGTTCCTTAAGGCTCTGGATGTTATGGGGTTGTGTTGGTTGAGGCGACGCTATATGGCGTGGACATTGGGGGCAGTTCCCCTGGATTGGCAGACCGGGGTGGTGGTCCCCCTATTTAAAAAGGGGACCACAGAGTGTGTTCCAACTATAGGGGGATCACACTTCTTAAATTGATGGAATGATGCAGATTTAGATCGTAGCAGGTTGTGTTGAGGTTTACTCTCAGTTTGGATCAATGTTTTTGACTTTTCTTAGCATTATTTCCAATAATCCAGGTTTGGATGTTTTGTTGAGAATGTTTTTTTAATATATTTTACAGATTGATGTCATGAAAATGGAAAACAGAAAAACATGTCCTAATACATTTCAGTAATCCAGGTAGAAATGAAGAATAAAGTCAGTCCTGTGGACCTACTTCATTTTATTCTTTGATAGATATACATGATGAAGAATTATTTTTGTGTTTGTCCTCACTGTGATGTTTGTCACCACAGCTTCAGTTCAACATGTTGGTCCTTTTGGACTACACCCTGTTGGGCAGTCAATAAAAGTTGCTGACTCAGCTCACCTGTTCATTGTGCTTCCTTTTCACATATTGCTGCTGCAGATTTCACATTTATATTCAGTTTTATTGATGTGTTCAAAGTTAATTCGACTCACATTTCAAAGCTTTCTGAGTTTGCTGATTGGCCAGCTTCACTGCTTCCTGAATATCATCCAACCACAGCTCAGCTCCTGGGTCTCTGTTCACCTGATTGGATAGAACAACATATAAATCTACATCAACAAGGTCACCATGACTTTGGATGTTACCTGTATAATTACCTGAGCTTTGTGCTGCCTGGCTCTGGTCAGCAGGCTCAGGTATCTACAGGCGTTGGCAGGTAGGACCTCCTTTACACCACAAGAGGGCAGCAGCAGAGAAGAAAGCAGCTGCTGGAGGTTTCCTCCCCTCACAGCTTCATTTAACAGCTGCACTGCCTGGAGCTCTGTCACACAGGTACACACACACAGTGGTTTTTATATGCTCATGGGGACCTTGCATTGACTTCCATTCATTTTATGGTTATTTCTACAGCCTAACCCTGAGCCATTAGGGGTCTTCACCAGGTCTAACCTCAGTGAACTGTAAACAGTCACTAGAAGGAACTCTTCTAAACAACATAAACAATGGGCCTCATGCAAGAACATGTTCGTATTCTTCTCCTAAATTTCTCTTCCTTTTGTTCGTACAAAGGGTTCGTAC